TTTTTTTTTTTTTTTTTTTTTTTGGTACCGGGGATCGAACTCAGGACCTTAACCACTGAGCTAAATCCCTGGCCCAATGAAGCTCCTATCTTAACTACAAGGTTCCCTGCAGAAGTGTTCCTCCCTACATGACCCCTATCTTGGCTCTGTAAGTGTCCCAGAGAGAGGACTAGCACTCCTGGCAGGAAGAGAGGCTTGCCTGAGCTCAGAATGGACTCCCTGCCACCTGCAGGTTACACCGGGTCCAGTACGAGATGCCTCTCTGTGATGATGACTCCGCCTCCAAGACCATGCACCTCATGGGGGACTTCTCTGCCCCTGCTGAGTTCTTTGTGACCCTTGGCATCTTTTCCTTCTTCTATACTATGGCTGCCCTAGTCCTATATCTACGTTTTCACAAACTCTACACAGAGAACAAGCGCTTTCCACTGGTGGTGAGTGAGCATGGGCCAGAGGGATGGGGGTAGAAGAACTGAAGAGATATGTGATAGGGGTGGAAGTCAGATCTGGAGGGGCGGACAAACATGATGGCTTCCCTGGGTCCCTGACACCTATATGTGGAACCTCTGCCTTGACCAATCTCTCATTGCTTGTTTCTGCTCACGGAAAGCACAAAAGCAACATAAAGAAGCAGGCTCTGGAGTTAGGCTACTTGGGCTCAAATCTAAGCACTGTCCCTTATTAGCTGTGTGACTTCCAACCAGTTACTCAGCCTCTAAACCTCAGTTAATTTGGCCATAATATGGGCATGAAATAGGCTGCCTTATAGTGCTTTTTGAGAGATAAAATGAGAATGTATGTAAAGTATCTGGTATACAAGTGTTAGCTATTACTAGTACTATTCTCTTTACTATTTCTCTTTACTTTGCAATAGGGATACTATTGCAGGCATGCATAGTAGAAAGTATATGTTAGAGAATTCTTTTGTCTCCTGAGTTTGGCTTCGGCCACTACTTATAGCTGAACAATTGTGATCACAGGAAAAGCTGGGAGGAAAGAGTGAGAGGTTAGGTCACGTGGGGCTGAGATGGAACAGCACATGCTTTCACACCTTATTGTCTGACCTTAGTTCTGAGGGCATTGGTAGTCATCCTGAGTGGCAGGATTCCTTTGTGCCAGTGAATGGATTCCTCAGGACCATTTGGACTCTCTGAGGTTCTATGTGTCAGGTGGGATAGGAAGAGGCAGCTGTCTTGGGATCCCAGGATTCTAGTGTATCATGGTAAAAGGAAAAGAAAAGGGAACTATGGGGGCTTTCTGAGTGTATCTTCTATTCCTCTGCTCCTCCCAGGACTTCTGTGTGACTGTCTCCTTCACTTTCTTCTGGCTGGTAGCTGCAGCTGCCTGGGGCAAGGGCCTGACCGATGTCAAAGGGGCCACACGGCCATCCAGCCTCACTGCAGCCATGCCAGTGTGTCACGGAGAGGAAGCAGTGTGCAGTCCAGGAGCCACACCCTCCATGGGGCTGGCCAACCTCTCTGTGGTGAGACCTGTGGCCATCGAAGGGGTCTGGGGGAGGCAGTGCGATTGCAGCTGTTCAGTCCTTCCCTAGGCCTGAGAGAAACACAGAAGGTGTCCCCAGAGCTGGTGATCCCTCTGCCTAGAGCTAGCTAGTGTCTGCCTGTAGCAAATGTTGACCTGATAAAACACCTGGCATGAGGGACACCTGGGAGCTACCCCATTCCTCATCTTTTCTCCCCCTGTATGTCCCCTTGTGACTGCCCTTCTCGCCTGTCTCCTGTTATACCTGTGTGCACACATGAACATGTGAAGGCAGAGCCCAGGGCTGGGATGGGGCTCAGAGCTGGGAGCACCCAGAGTGAGTGACAAGAGCTTGTTGTTGCTCAGCTCTTCACACCAGAAAAGGGCTATGGGGCAGTGGCAGTGGCTCCATGGTAGGCCTGTGTTTGGCCACTCCAGTTGTTAGAATTTTGAAATACGTTCATATTACTGGGTAAATACCTGGGACCTTGAGCTTCTCAAATGCTCCCTGTCATTTCAGTCACCTCGGGCCCACTATGAAAATGGTTTGGTTCTCCACACTTGAAGTGATTAAAGCCTGGCACATCAGGGAGCCTTCTGGAACATTCTGAAACTCATAAGTTCTTCCTTCATAGATTTCTCCCTTCAACATTTTATTATAAAAATGTTCATACATACAGCAAAGTTGTAAGAACTTTACGGTCAACACACACAACTCACCTCCTAGACTGGAGACTTGCTTTATTATATAGCCACACATCTCTCTTAATTCATCAGTCCATTTCCAATGCATTTCTAAATTAATTGCAAACATCAGTACACTCCCTACCTGCTGTGAGGTTTTTGAAATATTTTAAATAAATATTTGAATACAATTCTGGTGGAGACCCTGGTTTGGGGAAAGGAGCACCTTGGACAGCTCCAGGCACACTGACCCCACAGAAGATGATCCAAGCAGGCCCCACGTGTGCGGTAGGAAGCCCAACTGGCCCTGACTCTTGGTGTCTTGCTATGTTTGGCATGATGACCATTTGAGGGGGCAGATTCAGCTAGTCACTAGGCTAGATTTTGGGCGCAGGTTGTAGATAGTGAGATTTTTTCACTAGGGAACCCTTAAATGTATGATGATTTTGAACCCTGCCTCTAGATCCAGATCTCTGTCTTTCAGTTTTCGTAGCCCTCTGTACCTCTTTCTCCAACATAGAAACTCCACTCTTACTGTTTTCATGCTGTCGCTCCCTTACCATTCTCACAAATTCCTCCGATGTCCTTTGCAGCTCTTCGGCTTTATCAATTTCTTCCTGTGGGCCGGGAACTGTTGGTTTGTGTTCAAGGAGACCCCGTGGCATGGACAGGGCCAGGACCAGGGCCAGGGCTCCAGCCAGGAGAGCGCAGCTGAGCAGGGAGCTGTGGAGAAGCAGTAAGCAGCCCCGGTCTGGCTACTCCCGAACTGGACAGCACCTCTTCAATACCTCCGGCTTCCAGGACCTGCCTCTTCCTCTTCTGCCAGCTCCCTTCCCCCACCATTCTGGGCTTTGGACTTTGAGATGTTGGATAGGAAGGCATTGCCTGTCTGGGCAACCCTCCCAGTGGCTTCCTGTTCTCTTGCTGGAGCCCCTGATGGCAGGAGCTCAGTGCTTCTTGCCTACCGCCAGGACCTAGGTATCTTACTTAGAGTCCTACTTGTACCTCCCACCCTCTGAGTACCAGACTCTGCTGCAGGTGAGAGCTGGGGGCAGCAGGCCAGAGCCCTGAGACCGGCCCCTAACAGCTTTAGTGTAGTTGCAGGGTGGGGTTGGGGGGTTCCTCATGGTCCATGTCCCAGAGCCCAGTGCTTCTCCTTTACTTCTTTGGCCTCCGTTTGCTCACAAAGCCTACCATGTATGAACAAAAGAGGCCCACCATCCTAGAAAGGGCCCTTAGAGGGTCCACATGAGGCCTGGACTCAACCAGAGCAGATAAACTGCAAGTGAGTTGCAACTTTAAGGAAGAAAGCCAAGAAACTTATTTGCAGAATCTTTTTTTTTTTCCTATTCCCTGAGCACCCCGCCCCTAGCCACTGGTGCACTGTCTTATCTACCAGCATTCTAAACTCTACTTACTATAGAAACTCCTTACCTTTCTCCCTGCCCTTCTTGGGCTTGGTCTCATCTCACACTTGGGATACAAGATGAGAGGCTAGGAGTGTAGCCATTTCATCCCCTCCCTCCCCCACCTCTCAGCCCATCTCCCTTCCCCAGCCTCTTGGGTCTGAAGCATTCAAGATCCTTTTTGAAGTCTGTCCAGACCTTCCTTTTATTCCTGTGGGCCTAGATAGGGGATTTGGAAGGGCCCAAAGGACCATCACGAGGCTAAGGTATCCCAGCGTCCCAGAACACGGATGGATGGGCCCATTTCACCCTACTCTGCTCATACCCATTCCCCCACTCCTGCTCCTTCTCCTGTTCTCATTTCATATGCCCCCTTCTCGGCTTTACAGAATAATGTACCCTCCCCTGTCCCTCCCAGTCCTCTCCGTCTTCTTCCTTTCTGCCAGGCTCTATCCCCTCCCCAGTCCAGGGCAGGCCGATGCTACTGGTGCTTCTTCATTTCGGGACCCAGCTCCATATCTGTATTTGGTGTATGTCCTCTTCCTGAAACCTCTTTCAGTCTCTCTCTGGGCCCCAAGGCCTGAGAGTCCTAACTGGGTAAGGACTACCTGCCTACTACTCACCTCAAAACACCTCAATCTGCCCTGGCCCTCGGGCTGCTCATGATGAAGAGGGAAGAGTCCAATCATTTTCCAATCCAATGCTGACTGGCCCACTTAGCATCCCAAAGGTCAATGTGTTCTGTGCCAATCTCTCCTCAGGACTGAGTCAACCCCCTTCGACCTCCTTACTTCCCTCCCTGGCATTCATAGTAACATGTGCCTTACTGGTGTACTTGGGGTTTAGGACCTTTGAGTTAGGGCCAATCATTTCCTCTGTGGGTCAGAATTTCCCCCCATTTGACAGGAGGAGTGTGAGATTTACATCTTCAAATTCTCCAGAGGTCTTCAGTAAAAGAACTCGATATCTTGTTTTCTGTTTTGGGAAAGGATTTGAGGAGAGAAGAAAGGGATGAGAATGTTCCTAAGTCTGAAACTCTCTCTCTGTCCTGAGCTGTTCCTAAGAATGAGGTGGGACAGTTTGGTCTACAGCTCCAGAGACACAGAGAACAAAGGGGTGATTTTCATTTTTCTTCAAGCCAACCCCTGTGGGGGTCTGTGTGCAGCTTCTACCAGAATTTTGTTTGGATTCTGTGTCTGTATTTATAATTTACTTGAAATGTAATGGATAAAGTGTTCTCATTTGGGGGCTGAAGTTAGCAACTGGCCCTTCAGCTAGGGAAAGAGAAGAGGAAACTCACTCCTGCCGAGAACTCCCAGTCCAGAATTCTTTGGGGGAAGAGAAGGTCCTTCCTCTTCCTCAGGAGGCTGGCTGATTCTCAGCCAGAGAACCTTGATTTAGGCTATGGCCTCTGCATGGCCACCCTAAGAGGAAAGGCCAGTTTACCTCATTACTTCCAGAGGGCTGGTCTGGACAAAGTGCCAAGGGCAGAGCTGTCCTCATAGAACTCATGTTCCCTCCAAACAAGGCTGGCATCACTGCTTTGCCTAGTGGGGCCTGAAGTAGGAGAAGGTGTCTGATTTCTTCAGCTGCTGCAGGAAGCCAACAGGCAAGGCACTTGCCCTTTGCCCTGGAAGATTCTGACCCTGCCAAGTGCCCACCTAGGATCTTTCCTCCACATGAAACCCTTTGAATATTGTGGCTCCTACTTTTGGGACTATAGATCGAGGGTGGGGGGGAATATTGCATGTTGTTTTCAGGTGCTTGTTATTACACATTTGAATAAACAGTGCTGCAAGCATTTGCCATGGAATCCTTCAGGGAATTTTTCCCTCTTTTCCTCTCCCTTGCTTTAAGGTCTTAGACAACTATCAACATTTCTCCCAAGATATCATTCCACTCCTCTCCTTTCTGCAACCAAGTAGAGTCTGCTGGCTGAGCAGTTGCTTCTAGCAGGCCCCAGTCTGGTGACTTCACCTCTTTTGGTCCAAAAATTAGTCCAAAGTAACTGAGACTCATTAGTAAATTTGGAGCAAATTCAAAAGGCAAAGGATAGTGGTTTCCACAATGCTATTTCCATTTGCTCTGCTACCATCTGTGACCCAAACAAGCGTCCTGTCAGGAGATGAGGGCCATGCACACTACTCTTTCCTACAGAGTTATTGTGGAACAAACTTGCACTTTCATCCCTCTTCAGAAAGACAGTCACATTCTATATTTACATTCATTAGAAAAACACACTTGGACATAATTTTATATTCAATTTCACCAGGTTTCATCCAGGTTCACATGGATCCATTGGGGATTGTCTATGGCCTCAGGTTAACAATTCTTGCCCTTAGATATTATGCTTTAAGTATATAAATCTTCTCTGGAAGAAAATAAGAAATTCTGAGGTCTCCAAATTATAGACCTTGACTTATTTGCTCCCTAACTTGGTTTCCTCTTAGCCAATGGATTGCAATATGGAGCAAAGAGAAGAAAGGGGGATTCATATATCTTTTCTGATGAGATGGGAGAAAGGCAGAGGCAGACTTTTTTTGTCTCTTGTGTGAAGGTGGGAAGACATGATATCGGCTTTGATGATTAAGGTACTTTCCAGGCCTTAGCAAGGAAAAATGACAGATCTGATGAGAAATCTTCCTATGCCAAGGCTTCAGTAGCAGTCCTTCCAGCAGAGAAAATATTCATTAGAAAAAGAAGCCAAAATGATGGATGGAATCAGGGTCCAGCCACGGTTTGGGAAGAGGCAGTGCAGGGTATCGATCGCCATTCTCAGGAGAAGAGAGACGGATCAGCAGAGACGCTGCAAACACTGGCAGCCTCGGGGCCACCCTAGCTCCGGAGCTGGCTCTGGCTTGAAAATAGCCTTCAGTCATCCTGACAGGTGATGTTGGTCAGCTCAGCTAGGCCCTACCAAACCCAGACAGCGGCACGCCAACCCTCCGTTCTGCATCAGGGCAGCGTGGGTTTCCCACAGAGGAGGAACGACACGGGAGCCCTCCCCCACTCCAACCCGTGTGTCCTTCAGCACATCCTACAGACTGCCCCCCCTTGCCCTTCTGATTCACTGCACCCACCTCCCTGCACCTACCCTATTCGATCTACAGGAGAACGGAGTCGCTTCGTGGCTGTCAGCCCTGGAAAGGGCGCCAGCCAGCTGGCTGGCTCATGGTTTAAAGGGGCGTCTTGGGCAGAGCGAGGTTTGGGGCTGTGGTGCGTGTTCAGTGAGCTTGAGAGAGTGGGCTGGTGTCACAAAGAATTGTGCACAAGGGTTAGGAGGGGAGATCCTGGGTCTTTGGTCTCTTCCTTTCCTTCTGCAATTGTGCATTTCGGAAAGGCTCTAGCTACAAGCACCGTAGGCAACGGCAACCCCAAACTACATTTCCCAGAAGGCCATGCGGGCGGGAGGGAGAAGAGACCTAAATTGCGCTTGCGCAAAGAGGGAGCTGGAAAGGTAGGGGGAGAGAGGCGTGCCCGCGGTGGAGCAAGGGGGG